CTCAGGCTGGTCTTGAACTCCTGAGCTCAAACAATCCGCCTGCCTCGGCCTCCCAGAGTGCTAGGATTACAGACGTGAGCCACCGCGCCCGGCCCTCCATTTATTTTTTAAATTTTATTTTAAAAATTTATTTCTCAGTTGCTCTTGTATAGCAACAATGGGCTTCATAAAACAAAACCCATGACTGTTCGAAATGCCCTTTGCGACCCCTCCCTGGACACCAGGACCCCCAGTCCCCAAGCGCATTCCCCCTGCCCCTGGGGAACGGGGGACGACACCATGCTGCTAACTTACCGGGGCTTCTGGATCACCTTTCCAGAACGAACCAGTAAGAAAATGTGATCCGTGTATTTTCAAGCAACACCTTTGTGGCTGCGCTGAAAAGTGTCTTCCCCGGAACGTGTCCTTCGGGGTATGTGGCAGTACTTCTTCCCCCTTACTAAATGGAACCTTCTTCTCCTTTCTCTCAAGTGTCAGGAGGTCATAGAGACCTCCCTGAACACTGCGAATCTCCTGGCAAACGACGTGGACTTCCATTCTTTCCCATTCGACAACTTCGGGAGGGGGCTGATCAAAAAGTGCCGCACGAGCCCGGACGCGTTCATCCAGCTCGCGCTCCAGCTGGCGCATTACAAGGTGAGAGCCCGAGCCCGGCTCTGTCACGAGCACTTCGGGTTCCTGTGCACGCACCCCAGACCGTTCACCCAGTGGGCAGGGAAGGAGAGCGTGTCTGCTGGTGACAGAAGCACAGGTCCCCCAGGTCTCCGTGGGTGTGGCGGCGTGGATGGTACCCCGTGCAGCAGGGTGAGGCTCTCACAGTCCCTGTTGGGTAGGGGCAGGCTCCTGTCTACACAGGGGAGGGAGAGTCTGGGAGGTGGAAGCGAAGTGGGGTCTCATCACTCTGCAGAGGGGAGAGTTAAACCTTAAAATAAGCCCCGTATCCTCGAAGTGGGTAAAGTGGACATGCTTACGGCAGAGTATGAACGTCTCTGGCCTTTGACATCCCTTCCGTAAAAGGGGAAACTACGACCTCCTTGGAGGTGCCACGGGCTGGACACAGCCCTGTACACATGTAGAAGGACGTGCATTCTCCACATCCTTTCTCTCGGCACCCGCTCATGTTTGGCTTGCTCTTGACGGCCCCGTCGGAGGAGCAGCCTGCGCCCATGGGAGGATGTAAGTGGGACTTCCTGCCCGTCGGAGGGAACCCGCCACCCAGAGAGGGCCTTGCTTTCCAGGGCAGCAGGAGTCACTGTGGCATTGGCTCAAGATATGTCCTGTGTTTAATGGGAAAGCTGTTTTCAAGCTAGAGTGCTGTGTGCATATGCAGCGTGTGGCATTGCCGTGGTGACAGCTGTACTGGGGCCAGCCAGTGGTCTAGGGGCTGCACGTTCATCGTGCCTCCTGGTCTCTCCCGGGAAGGCACCCTTTTTAGCCCAGGTTAGAGGTGAGGAGACAGAGGTGCACAGAGGTGCGGCTACTTGGCGAGGTGACGTTAGACTCTCTGGCAGGGTGAAGCCAGCCGGTGGCTCCAGAGTCTGCACCTGCAGGCTCCTCTTCCTTTCCAACTAACGTTAAGAAAATAAACAAATGCAGAAAAATAAGAGGCAGTGTCGATATCAGATAAACTAGAACAAATGGGCCAAAATTGCACTTAAAATTGATGATATTGGTGATAATACGGTTCTTAATAAAGACTATAACAATCATGAAGCTTTATTTTCCCAAACAACATGCTCGCTGCGTTGCGTAAACCAAAGCGGTTTGCGCAGGACGGAGCACAGGAGATGTGGGAGACGGTGACTCGGCTCCTTGCCTTTGGCAGGTCCTGTGTCTAGTAGGTACGATGGAGTGGAGGTGTCGGGTCTCAGACCCGGTACGCTGGGTTTTGAGAGTTGATGAGCAGTCTTTGCCCGTAAATACGCAGTGTGAGGACTGCACGAGGAGGTGTAGCTCAGATCCAGAGTGGATTTTAATAAGAGAACACCATGTTTCATTTGAAATTCGATAACATTATTTTCCGAGGCAAACAAAGTAATGAAGCTAACTTAAGAGAAAGTAGAAAACCTGAAAAGCTCCGTGTCCATGGATGAAAGTGACAGGCTGTCGGAGAGCCACTCTTGCGGCTTTGAGGAGACTCGAGAAAGGAAGGAAGCTGCCCCGGTGACGTCCCAGAACCAGCATTGCCCCGAATGGTGGTGGAGCTCCAGCCACTGTGCCAAGAGCTTGGCAGGAGCTAGTGAAACCTTATGGAAGAGCTGGGGAGTGGGCTTTCTCTTCTCTGCTTTATGCCCAAGGAGGGAAAATCCTTGTCTGAGATCTGCAGCTTGTAAACAGAAAGGCTGAGATTGGAAGGAGGTCGGCTGGTTCCAGAACCCGTATCTGTTACAACTGCACTACAGCTGACCCTGACAGACACAGAAAAGAGAGCATAGACCAATTTTACTGTGACTGTAAATGTAGCGACCCTAAATCAAATGCTAGCAAATAAAATCTACCTGTAATGGAAAAGAATAATCACCAAGAACAGCATATACCAGTGACGGGAGGATGGTTTAGTGTTAGTAAATCGAATACGTGCTGTGGCATCGTCATATCTCATTGCAGCCTCGAACTCCTGGGCTCAAGCGATCCTCCTGCCTCAGCCTCCCAAGTAGCTGGGACTACAGGTGTGCCACCACACCAGCTACTTTTTTTGTTTGGAGTAGAGACAGGGTCTTGCTCTTGCTCAGGCTGGTCTCGAACTCCTGAGCTCAAGCAATCCTCCTCCCTCAGCCTCCCAGAGTGCTGGGATTACACGCTTGAGCCACCGTGCCCGGCCCAAAAGAAGTACACTCAGTAAGGAGGCCCGGTGTGGAATCATACAACGACCAGTGTCTTCCTGGGATAACGATGACAGCCAAGCAGAAAATATAATGGAAACGAGCAACACAAACCCAGGACCCCTGGGCATGGGTTTATAAAGCAGACGGGATTCTGCGAAGAAAGGCCAAGAAGCCCCCCAAGGAAAGGGAGAAAAGGCCGTGATTTTGGATAAAAAAGATTCAGCATCACGGAGGGATGAACACTTCCAGTTCACGCATTTATGAGTATGAACGTGGTCAAAGGTCCCACAGAGATTTTAGGAGAGGGGCTTGACCGGTGGACCTGGAAGTTTGTCTGGAAAGGCTAATGCTTGAGAATAACCAGCAACATTCCAGAAAAGAAAAGGAGTCAGGTGGAGACAGGGGCAGAGGGAGGTGGACACTTGCTCTTTCAAAGTCTAAAATGTAGAGCCTAGAGGTGAGAAGATTGCAGTGATCGAAATGGTGTGGTCTCGGCACAAAGCAGGCCCACGAAGGGGCGTGTAGTGGAGACACAGGGTGAGGATGAATTTGACAAGTGGAGTTGGGAAGTCTGGCTAAGTGGTTCCCTTTGGAAAAAAGTGAACAGCCCAAAAGGAAAACAGAGTCAGAGCAAACATCGTGGTTCACAAGAGAAGAAAAATACAGATAAGTCAATGAATGTACACAGTGAGCTTCATCTTACCAGGAATCTAAAACGTGCAACTTAAACAAGACATTTTTCGCCTATGGGATTTGTAAAGTTTTTTTTATTATTCCACGTTGGTGAGGGTGGCTGAGAAGGGGACGTGAGTACGCGCAGCTGGGAATAGTAAATCCTACGCCCTCACATTAGGCTCGAGTAGCACAGGACAGTGGGAAACACATGTTGGGAAAGAGTAACCATCGACAGGGCAGATTCTACTCCGCGAATTGTATCCGTAGAAAGGGGCAGCACACAAAAAGTGTGTTTAAGTGTGCTCACCGTGAAAGTCTCAAGCAATTCTAAAAGTTAATGCTAGATTAAATTACGGTGTTTTTGGCCCGGTGTGTTGGCTCACGCCTATAGTCCTGGCACTCTAATCCCAGGCAGGAGGACGGCCTGAGGCCAGGAGTTTGAGACTGGCCCATAGGCCAAACCCAGCCCCTCACCCCCGCCTCTACCCCACCCTGCCCAAAGCAAAGACACCTCTGCCTGCCGCCGTGTAAACGGCCACATGCCAAACGACAGCTGGCGAAGCCCACCGCTCCTTGCTGGCCTTGCCCCGTCACCCCTTATGCTTTAGACATCGCTGTGCCCCACCTTGCACTGAAATACCTCTCCTTTCCCAGGACATGGGCAAATTCAGCCTCACGTACGAGGCCTCCATGACCCGGCTGTTCCGAGAGGGGAGGACAGAAACCGTGCGCTCCTGCACCGCCGAGTCCTGCGACTTCGTGCTGGCCATGGTGGACCCAGCCCAGACGGTAATGTGCCATCAGGTCGAGGACACAAAGTGTCCCACCCTCACAGAGGGACTCTGGAGGCTGACACGCCAGCTTCTCTGATTTCCGCTCCAATGACGCCACATTCAGCTGTTTTCTTCCACTCCTCTCAAGGGGTCAGAGAGTATTAAAAGGTGACGGCAGGGACATGCACAAAGACATCCATGTTGCACGCTGTACTTCTACGGATCAGATTCTACTTCCTGAGAGACTTTCCATGAGACGAGAACAAACGAGCGCAGGAATAGCCGGTAGAGGCTGCAGGACAGTACAGGTGGTGTGGGGGTGAGAAGCTATGACCATCACGTGGGAACCTTCCACATGGAGTTATTAAGGCTGTTGCCCACTCCGGGGCCCTAAGTGCCAGGCTGGGCCTGGCGGTTCTCTGTACGCTGCCTTGTAAAACCCTAGCAGTAGCCCCATGGGGCGTTACCAGTTCATTTTCATGGATAAAGAAACAGGCTCAGACGAACGCGGCCAGCTGCTGGGCTAGGCAGCTGGTGAGTGGCTGAGGCGAGGTCTGTGCCCAGGTGCACCCGACCCCAGGGCACAGGTGCTCTCTGACCGAGGAGGAGACGTGGACCAGGGCTCTCTTTTCTGCAGAAAACTTACATTCTTCTGGAAAGGCTCTCAATTACATGGAAAGCAATCAGCTGGTGTCATGACAGATGGCTCTAATCTGTCATGTGATGCCTTCAAAACAGCTTTGAAGCCCAGGTGCTATATGGGCAGGGTGCCCCAACCCTGTGATTTATGTGCCAGAGCCCAGCAGAGCCTGAAGCAGCCTTTTGGGGTCAGGTTCAAAGGCCTCATAAGTGCTGTTACAGCAGAGCTGCCAGCCAGACCGCCTTGGAGGGTTGTTCACGACCCACAGTAACGCGGCGGTGAACTGAGGGGGACGGAACTTAATTTCCAGACACGGGGAGTTGGCAGCCTCAGCTGTCCTGCCACTCAGTGATCTCGTCTGCGTGAAACGTGCAATGACGCCAGGTAGGCGGGTTGCACGGAGCACTCCGATAGCTTCCCCAGCCCTGCTGCAGCCGTGGAGCTGCCCCCTCTGAGGCGTGGCTCTGGGGAGGGGCGTTCGGTTGCTGGCGCTTCCGGCAGCCCCCTGGAGGGAAAGGTACCTGTTCCCTTTGAGTTTGAAACTTGGTTCTGTACCGCACGACCCGACGTGCGGCGCTTGTCCTTCTCACCCTCTGCGTGCAGATGGAGCAGAGGCTCAGGCTGTTCAAGATCGCGTCTGAGAAGCACCAGCTCCTGTACCGCCTCGCCATGACTGGCTCAGGGGTCGACCGTCACCTCTTCTGCCTGTACGTCGTGTCCAAATACCTCGGTGTGGACTCACCTTTCCTTAAGGAAGTAAGTCACCTCTTCCCTGGCGGCGCTCTCAGTTGTGCTGGCTGGACCACAGCTCGGCGAGTTAGGACCGCTTCGCAGAGCAGAACGGGCGTCACGCAAACGGGTCTGTGGGCATCGCGGTCCTGGGACAGAAAATTTGAGCTGCAGTTTTAGTTCTACATTTCTTCAATAACTTGGAACGCTTTGCTGTCAGATTTAGCTTCCTGACTTAATAGACATAAGTGAGCTCAAGAGCTTAGATAATTAAAGTAATTGGAAAGTGATGAGCTGTATTTATTACCTTTGTTTTTAATATAGTTTATTTTACCATAAGTTTATAAAATTTAATTTTTCTTTTTGAGATGAGGGTCTCACTATATTGCCCAGGCTGGTCTCAAACTCCTGGCCTCAAGCGATCCTCCCAAATAGCTGGGATTACAGGTGCATGCCACCGTGCCCTGGCTAAAATTTAAGTTTTAATGATAGTTGCATTTAACAGCCAGCTTGAAAAATCCCTGAAAATTCAGCAGTTGGCTCAGGGACCTGGTGCAAGTCTGGCACCCCTGCCTCCGTTCTGCGTCACTTGACGTATCGATCGCTGCTCGATCTCAGCCGCTGTTGCAGGCAGTGGCTCCCCGTCTAGGAGCCCTCGCCCACTCTGCGTCCTCCCTGCAGAGGTACAAGCCAGCGAGGCCTCTGTAGGACACTGAGGACGCTGTAGACTTCTGGTGTCTGAAGCAAACCTTTTCTTCTCTTCCCAAGGGGGCCTCTCAGGGACAGAGAGGATGGGACTAGGAAAAGTGGTGTTTGAACTTTTTCTTCTTTCACTCAACAGGTTTTATCTGAGCCTTGGAGATTATCGACAAGCCAGACCCCTCAGCAGCAGGTGGAGCTGTTTAACTTGGAGAGGAACCCGCAGTACGTGTCCAGCGGAGGGGGCTTCGGACCGGTAAGTGCGCCAGGTGCCGCGGGATGTTTGCGGCGGGGCGTGACGGGCCTGGTTCAGGTTTGAGGTCCCCTTGCGCCTCGTTGCTGTGCCGTTATAAAGGAATTCCTGCTGATCATTGGTACATGTGCTAACGGTGGTCTTGTATCGGAGTGTTAGAAAGTCCCCTGCTCACACCGTCTCGCCTCCCAGCGATGCACTGACAGTCGCTGTTCTCCAGGTCGCTGACGACGGCTATGGTGTGTCGTACATCCCCGTGGGAGAGAACCTCATCAGCTTCCATATTTCCTCCAAGATCTCTTGCCCCGAGACAGTAAGTAGGAAAAGAAGCTCCTTTTTCTGAGGGGAGAGGGGTATTTTTACTTTTTTATGGGAAGACATCTTTAATTTGACAGAAAATTTCAATTCAGTGATCTACATTTTCTTGGTTTGGACATTTTAAAGTAAATGAAATTCAAAATTCTCTCAATCTTGTTTTAAAGAAATGTGTCTTACTTGGTTTAATACGTTTACCTTTGTGGGTAGAAGTGGTTTTGAAGCTTAGTGTTAAAGTGTTACTGTAACTTTATTTAACACTTGGAAGGTGGACGAAGAATAGTGGGCACACACTAAGAAATATGCATTCACGATGGAGCTGGGCTCCACGCCGTCCTCTGTGGACGGAACACATGACCCCCGTTCTGGCGTGGCTTATTAATTCTGATTTATATTCTCCTTTCCGCGTTGTACCTAACAGGACAAGCAGTGTCACATTCACTGCTAACAGAGAAAGTTGGCATCCATTTGCTCACTGTGTTTTATGTAATGCGTCAACATTAGGGAAATCGTTAGATCAAAAACACACCCACACAAACACATCAGCTGTCATCTCAGTTCCTCCCAACATTTCTCCAGAATGGGTAAGTTAATCGTTAAACCATTAGGGCAAATCTTAGAGAACTGGCAAAAAGAAATTTGAAATAAGCTTTGAGTTGGATTACAAATGACAAGGCTTGAAATGTGGATATCGCCATGTTTTAATGTGTTTTTGGTTTTTGTTTTTAAATTAAAGGATTCTCACCGTTTTGGGAAGCACGTGAAACAAGCAATGAATGACATCGTCGCTTTGTTTGCGCCCAAGTCCAACATGAAAAAATAATGCCCTTAGAAGTGCTGGCGAGGAAAATGAACTCTTCTGATGCAAACCAAATGAAAAATAGGCGTTCATCCTGATTGTAGTTCGGGATGGGAAATTGCTCTTAAAAAACTCAGAAGTTTTCATTCCAGAGAAAGTTGGTGTTTTTGTTCTCCAAGATCAGTAAGTGAACAGCGTAGTTCCATCATGTGAAGCATAACCCTACTACTTCCTGGCTTGTCCTCACTTCGGGGACATTTGCTAAAGTCCCCCTAAAGCCTTTACATCAGCTTATATTTATTAAGGGATTAGAATATTGAACTAATTAAGGAATTAGTAGGGTTGTGACTTCACACACATTGGAAATGGAAATGGCACCTTAGTGGTGACCAAATACCTGGTACTTAAGGGCATTTAATGTCATCAGAGCAGTATAAACATTGTTTTGTTAAAAGGAAAAAGTGTTGCTCAAGTTTTTGGTGTCAACAGTTATAGCTAACACACTTGTAATGCACTAACTGAAAATGCTGTGCTTTTGGAAACAGGTTTTTGTCCCCGTAACGCTGTCATCATCTGGTCCAGTAGTCCGTCTGTACTTGCCTCTCCATGTTTAGAGCAAGCAGGATGCTGCATCTTTAGTTTTACTGACTTTGCATGTCTTCAAAACCCAGTGCCTTAAAAGTGACAGGCCCTAGATAAATGGAAGGGAGACCAACGAAAGATTTATTTTGCGAAGTCTTTGGGTGGAATGTGAGGATACCGTTCCCTTCTCAGTTTACCGAATGGGTAACCCCTAAATAAGCATTTGCCATGGTTCCCTCCCTCCCCCGGCTAGACGGTGCCCTTGGAGGGCAGCTGTGCAGGATTCTTCTCATTGAACTGCCTTCTCGTCATCATTAAGCAACAAAAGAATAACAAGTGTGTTTCCGAAGAGGGGAACAAGGGATAAGATGGTTCGGTGTTAATGTGTCTGGAGAATTCACTCGAGAATAAAATGTAATACATGCCTCAGGATTACTGCTCGGCCAGACTGACAGCAAGGAGAGCGGGACTTGGGAAAGGGAAGGGCAGCCCCGCCACAGTCAGGAGGGTGCAGCTCCCTGTCACCGGTGGCGAAAGAGAAGACCCACTCTGTCTCCAGAGGAGCTGGAGGTAGATGGAAACAGTGTGCCGGGTCACCCTGGCGACCAGAGTTTCTAGTGATGGTGCTAGGTTAACAACCTATACTAAAGATAGGAGTGCCTTTGCCGAAAGCGTCTGATTGACCACAAAGCAATTATGCACTGAGTCATCTTCAGTATTTCACGGAAAAGTGAAGCATCACGGACTGAGATTCCCACTGCCTCTGGGCCGTCCTGACAAGCTTAGCTGTTTTTTAAATCATGTATTTATTTTTCCGACCGCTTCGTTCTAGCTGGGCTTGCCTCCTTCAGAGTTCTGCGCTCTGATTGTACAAAATCGAGGGCCAAACTATTGGAGTAGATGGAGGACGCTTGCTGAAGAGCACATGTGTGTTTTCTTTATGTATATTTTGTAATGTAAAAATTCCACTTCAATGGGCCAAAGATTTTTTTTCTCTCTTAAAAGCAAGAAGAAATGAAAACAAAAGACAAAAAAAAAAAAAACCCACAAAAAACAATAGTAACAACCCTCCTCCCCACCATCTGTGGTATGCAACTCAAGCAGGTTTGGGGGGAAATAGCCCCCTCTGCCAGGGGCAAGGGTAGCATCCAATCAAAAGCTGTCAGCAGCGACAGTCTGTGTTACTGTGGTGTTCACGCAGGAATTCAAGTGTAGACGTGTTAGCGCTTCAGCATACATGGGTTTATCTCTCAGGTTTTAAATGTTTCAAATGTAGTTCTTGCTAATCAGTGCAGTTATCAATGCAATTTTATGTTCCTTAAAAGGAAGAGTGAGTTTTTATTGTACATGTTGAAAGGGGGAGGTAAGAGTATTACGTATTTAATTTAAGGTGGAACAAACCATATTCTTAGCACAGCCATGGTCTGAGTTTGTCATCTTGCACTGTCCATGGCATGTAAATACAACATGCTCTTCGGATGTAAATCTTAGAAACGCACAGTATGAATGGAGATCATCATTTAATAAAACATTAATCCCAGTCTACTACAGTATTTGCTTCTGTCTCTTTTGTTACATTAATAAAGGGAATTATAAATCAGGAGCCAAGCTCGGGCACTTGTGACAAAGGTGAGAGATACGCAAGAAAGGCCTTGGGGCAGGCAGAGTGGACATCACGAGGTCCCTACACCAGACTTGGAAGAAAAGCTTCTGATTAAGTAGGGCCGTTGACTTTCGCTTTATGTTCATTTATTAGTCCATTCCTTTGCCCCAGTGCCCAGGACAGTGCCTGACACATAGTAGGTGCTCAGTAAACATCTGTTAAATGATTGTATAGATTCCATTTTTTCAGCTGATTTCTTGAGCCCTAGTTCTAGGCACTGGGAATACAGCAGTGACCCCACCAGGGTCTGGCTGTCAGGGACCTTGAGGAAGAAGAGAACCAAGCTGACCCATTGCAAGATCTTAGGTGTTCCAAGGCAAGTAAGAGGACCATTGGGAAGGGGGTGGTAGCTGGCGCGGGAGGGAGGCTGATTTAAAATGGGTTTGAGCTGAGACCTGAATGACCACACAGAGCTGATCCAGCAGGTATTAATGCAAAGCTTCCAGGCTTGATTCTGATGAATGAGATGACTCACCCATTTGTCGTGCACACCTGGCATGATGCTATTCAATAAAAGTCAATAAAATCTTTGTAGATTGACTCAAGCTGTACATGATTTCACTTGGAATCTTCAATGTATTATAAGCTGCTTCCTAGATCCCTATAATTCGGTCAGATTCAAGATGGATTCGCAGCCCTGCTCCTGAACTCCACTGAATTTAATGTGATGTGATTATTCCAGCCACAAAATGAGAGCAAAGTCTTCTGTACACATGTAATCATATACATGGAGAGCGGGCCGAAATGATACACAGCACACTTGAGTGTGATGCCCCGTCGAAAGGCAGTGTGATTCGGGGCGGTCACTTCAGCTTTATCTGTAATAGTTAAGTATTTTAGTAGGAGAGCTTATGTAGTGCATAACTGAAAGGCAGTCCTAATTTTACTCTGAAGGAGCCATTAGAACTTGCTCTCTGGAATCCCGCCCTGCAGATGCGGAAGTGGCACAGGCGGCGCTGCTCAGTTCTGCTTGTGATGATGAAGAGGTGACTTCAAGTCTGTTTGTAATCAGCTAGTTGTCTGGAATATAATTTAGGCCGTTCATGTGGCAGGAATATTCCAACAGTCAGAATTTGATTACATCACATTCTTCCCCCCGCCATTACGTTTTTTTAAAGTCAACTCTAAAGTCCCAGAATAATTTTTCAGATAAGAAAGTTTAGCTTTGTTGTTCTTGAACACTTTAAACCTGTCAGCCCCAGTTTAAGAATTCTAAGCTGGGCAAAATTTTCTTGAGATTTTTTTTTTGAATGCGAAATGTAGAGCTAAATAGTAGATAGTGTTGCTGTGTGTTGCTTACTGCCCTTTGACTTAGAAAAGTATTTAATTTTTAAAAACAGGATTAGAAAGGTTTTATATTTTTTATTTTACTAAGACGATACTTGTACATGGAAACAGTACCTGAGAACTAAATGGTTGAGTTCCCCCCAGCAACCATGCCACTCACCCCCCGCAACACCCTTTGAACTCTGCCTGGTTAGGTTGCCAGGTTGCAGCCATCCCCCAAAATGTGCTGTCGCCTCTTTTCTTGATTAAGCAGGCGTATCTGATACCTATTGACTTATGCTTCTGTGAAGGATGGAGTTAGTTCACTCCCCACCCAAAGTTTGAGAGTACAGTTGTATTTGTTAATTCTTTTTCTGACCAACTCCCCTCACCCCCACACATCAGTGGGCTACACATTCAAGCTCTGTCCCCTAGGTTGGAAGTGTCTACAAGGTTAGGAATGCGTACTTGCAAGCCCTTGTCCCTGGCTCTGTCTTGAGAGCAGAAACACTATTTTAAAGACTAGAGAGATGACTCGCCTGTAATCCTAGCACTCTGGGAGGCTGAGGCGGGAGGATCCATGGAGGCCAGGAGTTCGAGGCCAGCCTGAGCAGGGAGACCCTATCTCTAAAAAAATAGAAAAATTATCCAGGTGTGGTGGCGCGTGCCTGTGGTCCCAGCTCCTCGGGAGGCTGAGGCGGGAGGATCCCTTGAGCCCAGGAGTTCCAGACTGCAGTGAGCTGTGACGACTCCACTGCACTCTAGGCGACAGAGTAGACCCTGTCTCAGAAACAAAAGACTGGGGAGTCCCACCTAGAGCTGCCCCAGACTCGCTGGGGGCCCCACTTTCCCCACCTGTGCCTGGAGCAGCTGATCCCGGAATGGAGCGCCCGCCCCGCCTCCCACAATGGCCGGACTTCAGGTTCCGCCCCGCTTGATGCTTGGCCCCGCCCCCAGCTTCCTGGCTCCGCCCCAACCTTGACTCCGCCCCCTCCCCAACCGTCAACGGCCGCCGGCGCGCGAACCCGGCTCTCCGCGCCGCGGCAGCCGAGCGGCCCAGGTGCGTACGGACCTCTGAGGCGGCCTGAGGAGGCGCCCCGTCGGGTCTCCCCGCAGACCCCGGCCGGGCCTCGGGTCTGCGGGCGGGGAAGGGGAAGGTGGGTCCCGGCCAGCTCGCGGGGCAGCGGGCGGCCCGGTCAGGGGCGGCGCCGCCTCACCTGGCCGTCCTTGCAGGTGCGCGGCCCCGCCGGATCCCGCTGGCGCAGGGCGCGGGCGATGCGGCGTGGCCATGGAGGAGGCCCCTCTGCTCGGCGGGATGCCTGGCCCCGAGGACGAGATGGTGACGGAGCTTTTCAGCCCCGACGGTCCCTTCGCGCCTGAAAGCTTGGCGCTGAAGCCGCCGGTGGCGGTGAAGCACGAGGAGGACGAGTTCCGCGTCCTGAAGGACGCGTACCTGAGCGCGGCCGAGCCCCGGGAGCCGCTGCTGCGCGCGTTCAGCCCCGCGCTGGGCGCGGACTGCAAGAGCAAGGTCAAGGTGGAGCTGCTGGCGGACGCGGACGACGAGGAGCCGCTCCTGGGGGGGTACCCCGCGCTGCCCGAGCTCAACCCCCTGGACGACGCCGCGCTGCCCGCCGCGCCCGCCTACAACGTCCACTTCCTGTCCTCGCTGCTGCCGCCCCGCGGTCCCGCCGGCGTGCCCCTGGGCGCCTGGGCCAGGGAAGGAGCCGCCCACCCCGGTGTCCGGATGATTCCAGTAAGAGTGTCTGGGAAACAGGCGCAGGACCCCGGCTCCCCTTTCCCCATAGATCTGGGGCCCGCCGTGCTCTCCCGAAATTTCCCTCTGTGAGCATCTCCCCTGGGCCGGCAGCAGCCCTGGTGACACAGCACACACCCCCCTGGGCCAAGCCCTTCCACCCCCGGGCTAGTGGTCAAACCTGGCCTGACCGCGCAGACAGCATCCAGCAAAGGGGGGGGGCGGAGTCAGAAAGTTTGTCGCCTCCTGCTCTGTGGCTATCCTTGGCTTTAGGAAAGAAGCCCTACGCAATGGTAAGAGTAGCTAGTGTCTATGAGAACAAATGCAGTGTGGTTGAGTGTTGGCCTGTTTGCATTTTGCATCTTTTCCCTTCAGTTTATCAGGCTGGTAATTCATAGCAAGAACACGGAGTTAATGCTTGTGTTTGCTGAACCCTGCAACCAAGATGTTATGTTAGTTAGATCTTTCCTTTGTTAATAAGTGATTGTTCTTCAAGCATATGTGATATAAATCAGA